GATCGATGTCCAGTTCGCTTGAGTACCTGAAAGATGAATGCTTGGGACTTCAAAATTAGAGAGGCTGTGTCCTTATGCGGAACATCAGTGGAGGATCAAAGACAAAGTGGGCAGCCGTGGGCGAGTACGCCATGCATTCCTTCCCCAGTCAGGTTCAGGATTGAGATTTTTCTCGTACAAGTAGTTCAGTCTACAGTCGCACCTTTAGTAAGGGCAACTTATGCTATTGACCTGTATTTCGTATAGGTTCATCCCTATATTCAATTTAGCAATTAACGCACCTCGTTTTTGTAAAGTTCTTCTTGCTGGAAAATGATCGCAATACTCGTTTCTCGTCCACAATCGACAGCATGTATTCGATCGACCTGCTAAGAATCCTCATACAGCGCATGATTTCGAAAGCCATAACCTTATCAATGAAATATTCGTGATATGAAAGATCTTGGCGGGGTGCCTGCACCTCATTCAAACGGGGCCCTTCTTCATCGTCTACGGCCAAGTGAAGCGTCGCGTGGCTACCTGCTTGGGTTCGCTTCTTGTTATTTCTTGTGATCCGAAGCGGCTTTGTAAATGATGCGACATGCGCGGTATTCGCACCAGGACGTGATGGGTGTATATCATCAGTTCTGAGTTCGGCAGCATGTGAAAGTGGCGCTGTAGGTGGATGATGTGCGCAGTATTCGCGGTTCGGCCCAATTCATTTACCGTGGCAGCGCAGCTGCCTGTGGACCCACTCCACATACAGTTGCTCTCATTATAGTGGGTCAATTCCCCAGGACTTATGTTTATCGCCTAACGAAGCGTCCGGTGGAGGCTGCATACGCACGTAAATTTTGGTGCGGTGGCAGTTTCCACTAGTCATTGCCACTGAGGCGGTGACGCTTTGATAAAAATAGGCTGGCGCTTCCCCAAAAGGTACGTACAAGGGGACAATTCCACGCTAAGCACTGCGAATGTTTGAGTGGAATACAATTTCGAGTCAACTAGACGCGTTATCAAAACGTAGATTTTCCGCCCTACATCTTACATTGGCGTGTCACGGGTTGGGTTTGGCGCTAGGCCATCCCATTCTCCACCAACTATTATCGTCGTGCGCAGTTAGTGGAGAGGGTCTGGCGCCTTGCTAAAATCAGCCCCCTCTCACGCCCCAGTATCCGCAACGTTAACAATGCACCTCCCTAGTACACTCGAGATCCCTGATATGGGGTAGGCGTGGCTGCTTCAACTGAACTTGGCGGGTACTGTGCTTTTGATGACATATTTTTGTTTTGAGACAACGCAGTCATGTCTTTGTCTAACAAGGAACAGGATGACAGTTGTCTCAAGCTGAAATACACCACGAGTAACCTATCCTGTGCCATGTACAAATGCCACGCCTACTCCGTCTCAGGGATGAGGAGTTTACCTCTATTGATATACTGACTCAATACCTCGGTTGATCAATATCCTCCGAAATGAGATAAGCTTTGAGCACATCATCGACAGTGTTCGAATAGGAAGAGCCACCCAGCTTTAGAGTCCATTGCCACGTTTGCAAGGGGAACGTACAGGAACGTGTACGAATCTGAAATGCGTTTCTCACAGAAGTAACGGATTAGTGGCAGATGAGAGATGTGTGTCAACAGCTTTCTGTTTTTGAAGTCGCAGAGGACTAAACAGCCTTTCGAAAAGAACGACACGGTCTAAACAGGGCACGTCCTGGTTGAGGGATCCTCAGTGAAAGGGTCGTTGATCGGTTCCACCCTGAGGAGACCGCCACTTCTGCGCAACGACAGAGGTTTCAAAGGTATCGGTGAAAGGAGTAACACCTTCACTCCCCCCTCTCCCAACCGATGTAAGGGGTAATACCTTACCCCCCCCCCTCACCCTCC